AAGAAAGAAGAAAGAAAGAAAGAAAGAAAGAAAGAAAGAAAGAAAGAAAGAAAGAAAGAAAGAAAGAAAGAAAGAAAGAAAGAAAGAAAAAGAAAGAAAGAAAGAAAAAGAGAAGCAAGCCATTGTTTTCCAAGATCTCAGGCTATACTAAATTGGAGGTTTCCACATGGATGAACTGTAACCTAACAGTGCCTGCCAGGTAAGGACTGGGAATGTTTCACCTCCATTTCCTCAAGGACACACAGCCAGAGAGGTTAAGGAACTTGCCCAAGGCCACAGTGTCAATGAGTAAGAAGTTGTGCTCTGCCCTGGAGTCTCAGCCCATTTGCCGCCCTGGCTCTGGGGTCTTAGCCTAGTTGCCCTGGATCTGGTGGCCTCCCTCCTGAGGTAGAGGTTGGGTCGACCCTCTCTCCCCTCCAGGGTTGTTCCGTCTGACTTTCAGGGTGAGACTTTCAACATCTGGAAAATGACTCAGGCTCTAGGTCCCTCCCAGGTTGTGGAGGTGAGGGCAGAGTTGTCCACAGGGTGGGGACCATAAGTCTGGAGCACATCTGGGGCAGCCACCCAAAAGGGTTTTATTTTTTAATCAACTTTATGAACCCAGAACTCACACACAACACACCTCACCCCTGCAAAGGATGCAATCAGTGGTTTCAGTATATCTGCAGAGTTGAACAACCATTACCAAATCCAGTTTAGATCATCTCATTACCCCCAAAGAAACCTGCACCCCTCAGTTCACTCCCCACTCCTCATCCTCTTTGGCCCCAGGCAACAGCCAGTCTCCTTTCTGTCTAGGGATCTGTCTGTTCTTGACGTGAGTGAAATCACATGACAGGTGCATTTTCTGCAGGCACCTCTTTTTGAAGACTTACAAAAAGTTCTCATAGTGAAAACAGCATTCTCTCAGGGTTATAGATGGGGGACTAGGCTCAGAGTGGTTCAGAAACTTGTCCAAGATCACTCAGCGCAGAAACTGTGGGAAGGGCTTGGATTTGGTCTGTCTTCCCACAGAGAACCCCAGCCGCCCTTCCTAGCCCTGGAACCCAGAGCTGTCTGACAGCTTACGGCCTCAGGACAGAGGTTTGGGGGGTGAGGAAAGCCTGAGCGGGGATAGTTTATGGTTTTGAGGGCCAAGGTTGGGGTTAACAGAGGGCCTGGGAGAGGCACCAGGTTTAGAAAACCAGGGGAGAACAGTCCTGCATGCCACCCCTGCCCTGCGTGCTAATTGGCCCAGCCACACCTGCATAACCCCCCTCCTGCACATCCCCCTCCCTCCTAGATACCAACTCCTAGGATGACTCAGCCTGAGCCCTGGGGCCAGCTGTCTCCTTTGCCACCTCCTCTACCACCTGTCTCATCTGGCTGCAACTGTCCCTCTGGATATAATTGGTGACCCAAGGGTGACTGGGCTAGGACTAGCCTCACCAGCAGATGGACAGGACAGCTCTGCCCCCAGAAAGTCCTCTGGACCAGTCTCATGGGGCCCTTACCCTTTCTAGTGAGGGCACATTCCACCTCTGGGCATGCAGGACCTCGGGTCCTCTTGTGATGTTCACTGTACTTTGGAAATGATGCTCATATGTTCAAATGATTCTGAAACCCAAAGAAATCCGGTTTCAAAACACGTCCTTTCAGGCAGCTCTCTGCATGGGTCCTCCATTTGAGCGGTCCCAACCCCCCTTGGGTTTGCTGACTTACTGAACCCCTCCATACAGGCAAAGTTTTCCCCTTAGATGGAGGAAGAAACCGGGACTGGACTTTGCAAGGTCACCCAGCCACGCATGGCTTTGAATGTGGGTGGATGGTCCTGGTTCCATGATCCCTGGAAACTGAATTTTGAAGATATGTCGTGGGCCCAGCCTTCTGGTGTGAGGAGGGGGGATGCGGTGGCCTTCAGTGACCTGGGAGGCAAATAAGGACAGCAGCTGCTTACTCACCAGAGTGCCAGCCCTCTGTGCACTGTTCCTCCCATTACCTCCTTACAGCCACGCAGCCTAGCTTGGAATCCCAGCCCCGTCAGGCTGCATTCTGACTTCAGGCAAGTCAATAAACCTCTCTGAGCCTCAGTCTCTTCTGTAAAATGGGCATAGTGAGGAGCCAGCAGGTGGCACAGTTAAGGCTCTGGATCCCACATAGCTGACTCTGCAGTTCAAATCCTGGACCCAGTGGCTTTAGAATCAATCCCTCTGGGTGCGTGTGCCTGCATGCCCAAAGTCCCGAGAGGAGTGGAGGAGAAGGATTGCAGCGTGGCCACGAATTCTTACTTTCTCTCTGTATCTGTCTCTGGTGGTGTATGCACCCTATTCCAAAAAAAATCTGAAAAAAAAAAAAAAAAAAGACAGGTACAATAAAAGTTCCCACGTCGCGGCTACAGTGGAGATCAGTGAGTTTGTGTGTGCACAGCACCTGGCACACACCGTAAGCTATTATTGTTATTCCCCGTACGTCACAGGGCAGAGCCCAAGCTCCTGGCCTCTAGGTGCTCACAGGGAGTGGAGACAAGTCAAGGGGGCTATTGCAGTCTAGAGAAGAGAGGGCTGGGGTGAAGTCTGGCCCAGCCTCAGGGTCATAGGAGGTCCACAGTGCCGTGGAGGATGCAGCCGGGTGCGTCCATCCAGCAAACCTGCTGCCCACCTGCTCTGTGACCTTGGGCAGGTCACTTGCCTGCCCTGGGCTGCAGTTCCCTGCTCTGCGCAGTAAAGGCACTGGACGGTCTCTCCAGAGACCTGGCCAACCACAGCCTTCTGGGCTATTTTTACCAAGACTCTGGGCAGTCACACGGCTCATCTCGGAACCAGCACCCAGTGGGCAGATGCCAGGGGCCCTGAGATGTTCCAGCCCCCCACACCCCCCCGTGTCCGAGCTGGACCCTTTGCATGCCAATCTCCCTGGGCTCCATCTTGTCCTGCCCATAAAGCAAGGTCAGGCCCCCTCATGACCCCTCCTTGCTGGGGGAACTTTGTGCTAGGAGAGCCACGGGGCCCGTCTCTTCATCTCTGCTGGTTTATCCTGTGAGTCCTCTCCCTTCCCCCAGCACCCTCCCACAGCCCTCCGTGCACCTGTCGGAGACCAGGCGTGCTCCATTCTCTAAGGTCCGTCCTCACTGCACTCCCGCGATTTACAGCCTGTTCTCATCCCACTCTGTGCTCGTAAACTTCCTCCACTTTATTTTAAGCTGTTTACAATTTCAGAACTGTTATGGGATTGGAGGTGGGAGTAGAGGGAGGGGTAGAAGGAGGGACGCCCAGACCTCTTGCTTCGTATCAGGCCTCCTGCTCCAGAGACCGATTCATGTGTTGAGGAGATAGAGCTAGAGAGAGACAGAGAGATAGAGAGGCAGAGAGAGCAGAGGCAAATTAAAAAACACTGAGAAGAGGAGAGAGAGACAGAGGTGGCAGGCAGAGACGGAGGCAGCACGGCCTCCCCAGCACAAAGCCCTATGTGAAGGAGAAGTGTGGGGCCACCTTCTGGCCCTGATGGCCTGACCAAGGACAATCTTCTCCAGGCCTCAGTGTCCTCAACTGTAAAATCAAATCTGGGTTGGGGACCAGCAGGTGGTATAGTGGTTAGGGTATTGGACTCTCACGTGGCCAACCACCATTTGAGTCCCAGACCCAGCACCTTGAAAATCATGCCAAGTGCATGTGCATGCCTAAAATCCCAGGAGGAGAATGGAGAAGGAGTTGCAAAGTGGCCATCCCCCCAGGGGACGACTTCTCACTTTCTCTCTTTCTGTCTCTAGGAAGCACAAATGCCCTATGAAAAAAAAAATCTTTAAAAAAATACAATAAAATCTGGGTCAGCCGATGGTATGGGGGTAAAGCATTGGATCCCAAATGGCAGACTGTGTAGTTTGAGTCCCAGACCTGGTGGCTTGAAAAACACACCAGGCCTGTGTATGTGAGTGCCCGAAGTCCTGAGAAGAGGATGGAGAAGGGGTAATGGCGTGGTAATCCCCTCTAGGGGGTGATTCCTCTCTCTGGCAATTGCATGCTCCCTATAGTAAATGAAAACAAAACTAAACAGAGCAAAAACCACTGGGAAGGGGTTGGTTGATGGGTCAGTCTGCCTCACAAATCTTCAGGTTTGAATAATAATAATCCCCCACTGTTGGCTCAGCATGACTAACCCCATCTACCAGATAGGAAGTTGGAGCTCAGAGAGGTGCAGATGTTCTTCTAAGGCCACACAGCAACCACAGTGAGACAGGGCCTGGGGCCACTGATGGAGTGGGCAGGCATTTTCCACCCATCTCCTTCCTCTCTGTGTCTGTATCCTTCCTCCCCATGCTTCATCCCTCTCTGGCCCTCAGTGCTCCCTGCACAAGGACGGGGTGATCTAACCGTGCACAAGCCCTTCCCACAAGGTCTCAGACCTTCTCTCAGCACAGGAGAGAGTGTGTGCTCCTCACCAAGGACCCCTCCACCCTCCCTTCGCTACTGGAGGAAGGGAACGCAGGGCACAGCGGCCCAGCTCTGCTGCCACCACCAGCCAGGCTGCCTGCTAACTCATGCACTGACCCAGGCGGCGAAGAACCAGCACGCGTGTCAGCTGCTGCTCTGGGCTCCCGCGCATCGACTCACTCGAGCCTTGCAAGGGCCTTTTGGGCTGAGTACTAAGAAAACCTGTTACTTTCATTTTGAAGGTAAGGAAACTGAGTGGTGGAAAAATTTGCCCCAACTCTTACTGCAGGGAGAAGCAGAACCAGTCGGAGGGGCTATGTGGATGACGGCTAAGCGCGCGTGGGTGACCTGCTGCTTTTCCATTCTGTGTGAACCTGCTTGGGCATGACAGCACTTCTGCACTGTGGGCACCTCAGTTCCATCCCTGGGCTGAGGCTTCGCATGTGTGACTTCCTCTCGCTGCCCGGCTGA